GAGAGAGAGAGAAAAGAGAAAAAAGAGAGAGAGAGAGATAAAGAGAAAGAGAAAAAAGAGAGAGAGAAAATGAGAAAAGAAAAAGACAGAAAAAGAGAAAAAGAAAAAGACAAAAAGAGAAAAAGAGAAAGACAGAAAAGGAGAGAAAAAAAAGATAAGGAGAAAGAGAGAGACAAAGAGAGAGAAAAAAAGAGGAAAAAAGAGAGAGAAAAAGAGGATAAAAGAGAGGGAGAAGTAAGCCATGTTAGACACCGTTTTACACACGATAAAGTTCATCATCAATACCGCTAATAGGAATGATATGGTAAAAATCTTAATATCAGCATGGAAATCATCTAAATTTGTAGACCCCTATAATTCGGGTGAAATGATCATGCTGTTATGGAAAAATATGGGTCGAGGGCCAGTTGATATGAGCATGCCTTCATTGGACAAAATGGCTGCAGGCCAGGTGACATGAACTTGACGTCATGAGCAAAGGCCAGGGTGACAGAAAAGACTCACCACAAGTGCTAAAAGCTCTTGGAGTGTGATCATACACATTTGGCACTTAGAAGAGGACTTTTGCATTATTCCCATTAATAAATGGATGTGGAATGTAATGTGGTATAAGCCATGACTAGAAATATGCCAGCTCCAGGGAGGACAGCATTTCCATGCTCAACATCGTTTTCCTGGCCACTGTGACTAGCGGCGAAGGTAACAGAATGGACTGTATTTAAGGTTTGTCTTGTATTATGTAAACAAGATTCTTATGCTGATATACAATAAAGTAAATTGTATTACATAATGTAATTAGAAGAAATCTGACTTTAATAATAATGAAAATGATATTATTATTAATAATAATAAATAATAATAATAATAATTCATATACCAAGAAGTTTTAGTTGTGAATCCTTTAAAAAATTCCTGGATCCAGATCATGATCCAGGTCACCACCAAAATTTAATGACATATTAGTTGGTTTATGACAACTCATAAAAAATTTACAAAAATCTGTTCATAACTTTTTGAGTTATCCTGCAAACCAATGAACAAACCAACCAACACTATCAAAAACATAACCTCCTTGGCAGAGGTAATTACTGTGCTAACTGGCAGCTACTGCACAACAGTAGCTGTTTTGGGCAACCTTAAGTTACCCAGTGTTAATAGGTGCAGAGAATATCTGCTTGGTAATACAAAGCTCATGATGTTCATTTCATCATTCCCCTACTATACATGCAAATATAAATATATAACATATGTGCATATATATGTATGTCTATATGTACACATATTCCTCCCCAAATCTTTCTTTTAATATGACAAATACTACAAAAATTCTTATCCAGTTCTATGGTACTTACCTCATTTGCTTCTTCTCATTTTCCTCATACATGAAGTGAAGATACTTTTCATAATCCTGCTGATGGCTGGTATACAAATATCTTGCTAGGAAGCGTGATATTGGGTGCTATAACAAAGAAAATTAATAAGGATGTTAATTGCTTACATTATACATATCTGACTTGTCATGCTACACTAGCTTTCAATGGAGAGCCAGTGATTATGATGCTGCATAGGCTTAGTAATTTGGTTGAAGAAAGGATAAAGAACAATGCTAAAGGATTATAACTGTATGAGAAAGAATGGAACTTGACAAAAAACAAATAACAAATCACATTAAGGAAAAGCAGAGGTCCTTTCTCATCATCTCTAAAACACTATAAAGGTCTGAAATATTCACTTTTAGGATGTTAATATAAACACTGAGATGCATGCCAAGCATGCCAAGCCTCTCAGTTGGTGAAGAGAGATCTCCTGCCAAAGTAAATTTACAACACATATGACATTTACTAATTCTTTTTGACAGCTCAGCAAACAAGTCTGAGAATGTTTTAAGAATGAAAGAAGAAACTATATGGTATCAATTAGGATAATAGCAATTGTTAAACATTTTCATGATCTATGCATATATGACTTTTTACTGTCATAAAGAACTGTTAATTCCTCTATCCTCAAAGCCAATATTGACTGGGATTAACAAAATACTATAACATTTTGGCAAATCCAAATCACAATTGTCAACATATAAACTGCATATGCTGCAACCAAAATCATCATAGAGATGGGAAATTAAGTATACTGCACTTTTAACTTTTTCCTTGAGTGTCCGACTGTACACTATGGTCCATTGCGGTACATGTAGCACCATCAGCACTGGGTTATGGTGACGAAACAGTATAAACATTTAAGGTCTGTCATTGGAAAAACTTTAAAATCACAAATAAAGTTTTTATGTATCACACTTTTGAGGCGGGGAAGAGGTAAAGCTAGCTTTAAAATTTTACACATAAATACTCTTAGAGAGAGAAAGAGAGAGAGAAAGAGAGAGAGAGAGAGAGAGAAAGAAAGAGAGAGAAAAAGAGAGAGAGAGAGAGAAAGAGAAAGAGAGAGAATGAGAGAGAGAGGAGAATGAGAGAGAGAGAGAATGAGAGAGAGAAAGAAAGAGAAAGAAAGAGAAAGAGAGAAAGAGAAAGAAAGAGAGAGAAAGAGAGAGAGAGAGAAGGAGAGAGAGAGAGAGAGAGAATGAGAGAGAGAGAGAAAGAGAGAGAAAGAGGGAGAAAGAGAGAGAAAGAGAGAGAGAAAGAGAGAGAAAGAGGGAGAAAGAGAGAGAAAGAGAGAGAGAGAGAAGGAGAGAGAGAGAGAGCGAGAGAGAGACAGGGCGGGACAGAGAGAGAGAGAGAGAGAGAGACAAAGAGAGAGAGAGAGAGACAAAGAGAGAGAGAGAGACAAAGAGAGAGAGAGAGACAAAGAGAGAGAGAGAGACAAAGAGAGAGAGAGAGACAAAGAGAGAGAGAGAGAGAGAGAAAAAAATAGAGAAAGATAGAGAAAGAGAGAGAGATAGAGAGAATGAGAGAGAGAGAGAGAGAATGAGAGAGAGAAAGAAAGAGAAAGAAAGAGAGAGAAAGAGAGAGAGAGAGAAAGAGAGAGAGGGAGAGAGAGAGAGAGAGAAGGAGAGAGAGAGAGAGCGAGAGAGAGACAGGGCGGGACAGAGAGAGAGAGAGAGAGAGAGATAAAGAGAGAGAAAGAGAGAAAGAGAGAGAATGAGAG